TTAAGATTTTATGTTACGATAAAACTAAAACAAACCAACCAACCCAACCCAACACTTTTTAACAAAGAAACAACAAATTTATGAAATAAAAAATAAAAAAAACTTCGACAACTTCTGAGTATCGAACCTCTCGAATGCTAATGCTAAAAAAAGTTCGACAACTTCTAGTAGATTTTATGTTATGAAAAAACTAAAACAAACCAACCAACCCAACCCACACTTTTTAATCAAGAAACAACAAATTTATGAAATAAAAAATAAAAAAAACTTCGACAACTTCTGAGTATCGAACCTCTCGAATGCTATGCAAACGCCCTACCATATGAGCTATCTAGCTTGACATCAATTTTAAAACGCTCGGGGAACATTATTATGACGTAACTAACGTGCCTTTAACATTTCGAATCGCGGCACGTTAGCGTGCCTCTAGTCACAGCGAAAAGACAATGGTGTGTAGGTCAGTGTTGCCAGAAATGCAGAATTTTCTTCAATTAATATGCAGAATTTTAGCCTACATCGAAAGCTAATAAAGAAAAGAAGAATATTTTACAAAAACCACTACCTACAATATGAAGAATTTTTTAAATTCACAAGTTTTTTTTCATTTTGAAATTTTTTCAATTTTCTAGATTATTTAACTCGATTTTAACACTGTAATATGATTGACATCTCTCGGTAAAATGGTATAAGACTCGAATTGCATCACTGGTGCTACACTGGGGAAGCCCCGAATTAAATAGATATGATTGGTATAAAATAGGTATATTTATTTTATTTATAAATTATAAATCCATAAAATATAATATACCTACTATATTATAAATTGTAATATACCTAGTAGGTATATTATATTTTAAGGATTTGCATGCTTGCACATATGCATTGTGTATTAGAGTTGAAAGATTTATTTAAAAATGAGTTCAAGTGAAGAAGATTCTTAAGGGTAAATATTACAATTTTAAATATGTATGCATTTTTATTAATTAAATAAGTGCCTTTGTCACAGCAAATATTAATTAAGTATTTTGTATTGGCCAAGTGAAGAGACAAAATTTGAATGTCGATGGTGTAATGCAATACTTTATAAGGGTGTTTTCAATAATGAATGATGTGAAAACAAAAAAACGAAACAGACTAATTTCCTTTGCGTACCCATTTTAAAGACGTATAACCGGCCCCATTGCCTCATCACTGCCGGGCCCCGCATAGGCCTCTGTTTCCTTGCGCCGATTTTCTTTCGCCACCAGCAACGGCGCGGCTTCACCCGTGTTTGCTGGTTGCGAATGTCCGTTACGTCCCGTACTGTCCCCTAATTAGGGCTCGAGAGCGAAATGCCAATAGTTTAGTAGCCATTCCCGGGTTCGCCGAGCCGATGCTATACGCCCAGAAGGGTCATGAAGGAGGTAGGACGGGTTTTTAGGGGACAATTACGCCGACTTAAATCTAAGTACGACGCGGAATCCCCCTAGACCGGGAAGTTGGTATTACTCCAAACATTTGAGATTACTGTTTGGAGTTGGGGAGTTGTTAGTTCGCTGCAGGGGCCTAGTTCGCTGCAGGGGCCTAGTTTACTGGTCGTGGTCAACGTCTTGACCGTTATTGTCTCTGTCCGTGTCGGGTCGTTCCTGCACTTGTTATTGTCTTGTCTCGGCTGTTTTATTTCGCGTTGCAATCCTCTCTTTGTATTAAACAGTAACTGTGCAATTAATGGGGGGTATTTTTGATTTCCTCTGTATACTAATGTAATTACCAATTCCATTAGAATATTCTATGTTTATGTTTTCTTAATTTATGTTCGTTTGGATTTGAAGTGTTTATTTAATCGTTTCGTTTATGGGTTTAGTCTTGCTCGTTTGTTATTGATAGATTTATTGTCAGCATTCCTGTGACGGATTTAAGAGTTGGACAGTTTTGTTTTGTTGTTATTTTGCTACTATTGTCTCAATGTTACTGGTACACGTTGTTTATTTTTTTTTTTATTTTTTTTTTGGTTAGTTTTTTTCATGTTTAAGCGAAAAATGGCAAATAATATATTAGGTCATGCAGATATTTAAGGTTACTTATCGAGAATATCAAATTGGCCTTTCCTCCCTTGGTTATCCTCTTTAGTTTGTCTCGTGAAAAGCATCCAAATGCGTGGCTAGACCGCGATCGACCACCCGTAAGGTGTCACTCTACACTTCAACTTCAACACTTCCCTGACCTTAGGGTGGTCTACACAAACACTAGTTGCCACACTACAGACTATTTGCTCTTTAGCCATTGTATTTGTAAATAAAAGGTCTATTAAAAATAAGCTATATAAACTTTGGCAAAACTTAAAAAAACTGATCGTATGCAAAATTTTTGTTGCATAAGTACTCTACTTATTAAAGTTTCTTTTGCCACATAAATTATCTGCAACGGCCTGCAACACGGCGTTCTCTATAGAGAACGCCGTGCCTGCAACGAACGTATTTTTTTGCGAGATATCAAGGCGCGCTTTATTTGAAGAGTCAAAATTTTATTAAAAATAAAGTCAACAAAACTTAAAAGAAAATATATAGTATCAGTTTTTGTCGCCAAATTAATAAATGGTGGCATACATTCTTCCGATCACGCAAGAAACTTGAAAAGATCATGCTGCCTGGCTTAATGGCACCATAACTATTTATTTAATTAAAAGCCCAAAAATGTTTTGAAGAATTGTCTCGAAAAAGTAAAATTCAGCGAGTAGACTGGTACTATATATGCATAGTTCATTTCACAAAGTTTTAGTTTATGGCTGCAAAATAATTGGTTTTTTTGAATTGCCTATTGGACAACTTAGATGCCAGATATTAAAGAATACTTTTTAATTGAGGAGTCTCTAAATGATTCAGGTTTGTCAGTAAATTTCAGTTCTTTTTTCCTAAATAGTGAAGACAAAGATATTAGCGACACTGAAAGAATAAAGGTGTATTTTTATAAAAAATTAAAATTATTTTTTTTTGTCTACATAAAACTTATTGGAATTGGCACTAAAGAATTAATGTACTCAGTAAATTTGGTCTTTTTTGATTTCTTTACCATATAAAATATTATTTTAAATAATAGACCTATACTATAGTACCTGTACTTTTTAAGTTTCACAACAATAAACATTGATTTATTACTACAATTAAATCGAATAAAATATTTAGGTACATTTTGTTGGTTTATTACGGTTATTAATTTTAATTTAATTAACTCTTTGGAAAAAAATTCTTATGTTGTTTCCTTTTTATTTAAACATTAAAATGAAACTATTTATGTAAATATAAAGTTATGGTACTTTGTTTTCATTTTTAAAACTGAATACAACTTTATTTTTCAAAAATATTTCGTATAAATACTTTTGTCCCATGCCCCCTATCTCTAGCAGATGCAAGATGCGACTAACTTTGAGGAGCACTCGAACGTGACTACGTCACCAAAAAACATTTAGATTTGTGAAATTAAATAATTTATTTAATTCCTAAATCATGGTATAAAGTTTTTTCATATACCTATAACTAAGTTATAGGTATATGAGTTTTTTGTTCTGCCTATAAAATTAATTAATTTTCTTTAATTTGTAATACTTTATCTCCTGTTTACCATAAAAGATATTTGACTTTTAGAATTTTTTTTTTAATTCTTATTAGGTACCTAATCCAGTCAGAAGCTTTTTTATCTAATGAAGTTTTACATCTCTGCAGAAATATAAGGAATTTTTAAGGTTAAATTGAAGAAAATTGGTATAAAGAATCTGGCAACACTGGTCTAGGTTATGTGAAAATTGAGGTAAAAAACACTCTTGAGGTGCAAATTTTAAATTTAAATTTTTTTTTTTTATGAATTTTAGACTAAAATACGCTGTTTATAATTTTATAACAAGTAAAATAATTTTAACTATCAATGAATATGGTTATGTTCAGAATTTTTACCTTTGCATACACTTTATTTGTAAATCTGGACACCACATTTATATTATATATATATTTATATATATATATATATATATATATATATATATATATATATATATAAATATTTATATGTTACAGCTAATGTGCAAACTTGGATAGTTTATAAACTAGCTAAACTGTCAGCTATTTTAATTGAAAATGTATTTTCAACTAAATTAGCGGCTAGTTTACAAAATAACCAAGGATCTTGGCTAATTTACTTGAAATTATTAGGGAAACTAAAATAGCTGGATAGTTTGTATACTATCCAATTCAATTTGGCTAATATGAAAACCAAAATTTCTAGTAACACAAAATAGCCAAGCTTTAGCTAGTTTGTAAACTAACCAACTAATTCTCTGGCTATTGCCCATTTTAGTTGGGTTTTAAACCGTTTTTTGCTCAATGGGGCGGGGGGCCCAATGGGGCGGGGTCGGTTGGGTTGTGTTGTTGATTTTGGGTTGGTTTGGGTTTTTTTCTCTCATTTTTGACCATTTGACCAATGGGGCGGGGTCGGTAGGGTTGTGTTGTTGAGTTTTCTAACAAGGAACCGTAAAAATTTTGCCTATGATTAATTTTAAAAACGTTAAAATGCACAAAACAAATCCGGTTAAACGGCAAAACGAAAAACAATGCCGTAACCTCACTTTTTTAATAAATTAGCCAGAGAATTGGTTGGTTAGTTTACAAACTAGCTAAAGCTTGGCTATTTTGTGTTACTAGAAATTTTGGTTTTCATATTAGCCAAACTGAATTGGATAGTATACAAACTATCCAGCTATTTTAGTTTCCCTAATAATTTCAAGTAAATTAGCCAAGATCCTTGGTTATTTTGTAAACTAGCCGCTAATTTAGTTGAAAATATGTTTTCAATTAAAATAGCTGACAGTTTGGCTAGTTTATAAACTATCCAGCTAGTTTATAAACTATCCAAGTTTGCACATTAGTCATAACATATATAATATATATATTGTTAAGGAAAAATTAATGGTTGTTTTTAGTAACTAACTTTCATACCTAATAGGAGTGGCAGTAAATGGTAACAATGCTTACCCGTTGTCAAGAAACATTTTGTCTTCAGCTTCAAATTTCATTTGGAATTGCTCAGCTCCATCTTTTTCTGTGAATGTTTGTGATTCTTCTTTTACCTCTGAATTATCATAGACCATGGAATTGCCATTATCATCCAATTCTTTGATTTCTTGTTTTATTGCAATATCAGAGGTAAAAATAACTTTTTGGTCAGCAGAGGTACTTGGTTTATTGTAACTCATCGCAAAGGCTTTGTTATCTATGATCGCAATAATACTAATTCTTCAGGTTCTTTTAACACTATTAAATAGAAAATTTTGCTCTATTGTATATTTAATGTAATAATGTATTAAAAATACTTTGGCAAGCTGAAAAATCAATATAAAACCTTTATAACCCTCAAACAACGAATTAAACGTATATTTACTTGCCTTAACGGTGTTTTTACACCGAAAATTAAGAAACGCCACTTCAACAAATACTTTGTTATCTATAAAATACACAAATATTATTTAACTTTGCACAAACCATAGATAAAGAAAATTGGCAAACCATAGAGACCAGTGTTGCCACCCCGTTTTCTTTAAAATTCCCCAGGACGGTGCTAAAAATTCCCTATTTTAACCGAAAATTCCCTTTCGAGTTTTTTGATAATAAAAAAAATCTTTTTAACATAAAATTACTTTTGATAAAAAATAGAAATATAATTTAAAATTAACATAATTGTTGTCAACATTTAAAAAAATATATAATTTAAAATAAATTGACAAATATTAAACTTTATACATAAAGTTCGGACTTCTTGTTTAGGCTCCATGATCATAGAAAAACCATCCATGATTATTAAAATTAATCACTGACAGCACGAAATATAAGACCAGGTTTGCCACACTTTCTTTTTGACGAGTGGCGCTGAAGTCGCCGCTATTAATTTAAACAATAAAATTAACTAAATATAAAAAAAGAGAATTAGTCTTGAGTAGGGTAGACTCTTACTGACCAGCTAAAAGTTTTTTATTGTTAATTCCCTAATATTCACATTTTACATAAAATATTCCCTCCTTCCCTTTCGAGAACCACAATTCCCGAAAAAGGGAAAATTCCCTGCAGTTTGCAACACTGATAGAGACTCTAGGCAATAACCAAAGAACACCGTAGCGCCGCCTAGTTGGTGGCATAGGAAACTGCACTAGAGGAAGCGTTGCCAACTTTTTTCCGAGATATCCCTAGGCAAAAGGTACTTTTTGTCCAGGTGTCTACGAATTTGTCCCTAGTTTTCAGGATTTTTCTCTAGATTTTTTTTAAGTAAGTAAGTACAATTTTTACCATGTCATGCGGGACCCATCTAACAAAAGTTTTAGAAGAGGTTGGCAACATTGTCTGCAAGGCTGGAATCAAAATAATATAATAATATATTTTATCTACTCCTACATTGACGAGCTGTGACTTTATTGCGTTTTATTGACGGGCTAAAGTTAACAACAGTGGCTTTTCGACATTTTACGCCACGGGCTGAAGTTAGTTTTATTATAAATTGGGAAAAAGTGAGGTTAAATTCGGGTAACAGTTGACAGATATCAAAATTTTAACAAATAAAATTGGCTTTAAATTCTGTTTTGTGTTCGTCGTAGATAAAGTATAGTATGCAACTCGTTTATAAACTTCTCTAGACACTCGTTTTTATTACTCGCTCGCAAGCTTCGCTCGTGCTTAATTAAACTCGTAACTAAAATGACGTTTATAAAACTTGATACATAATATACTATTTTCTACTCCCACCTTTAAAACGCCCTTTATTGTACATGTTTCCATTACACTAAGTAACCTTTTAAATACACATTGACAAGTTGTGGCTTTATGGCGCTTTAGTCACGGGCTGAAGTTAGCAAAAGGTTTTTAGTCACGGGCTGAAGTTAGTTTTAAGTTAGTTGACAGTTGTCAAATGTCATACAATCGTTAAAATAAAGTGCCTTTCTTGTAAAATAATACTAAATTTGAAAATTATTTTATTATCTCAATACAAAAGTATAATAGCTAACTAGTTTCTCAACGCCAATATTTAAAAAGTTTATATGAACATTGTACTGACCTTTTAATTTCTCCGGCAGTAAACTATACTTAAATTCGGGCACGGACTCCACTGTAAAGTCCTCATAAAACATTTTCTTTACTTTCACTGTGAAAAACTGTCAATTTTCAAGAAATACATTTCCATTTATAACCTTTATAATCTGTGTTTATAAACTACAAAAATGTGACATTTGACGGTGACACACAGATTCCCCTATTGTTTCATAGATGGCGCTCTATACAAATTTTTGATTTAAATCATTTTAAGATAATAAGTATTTGTCGTAGAAAAAGTATAGTATGCACCTCGTTTATAAACTTTTCTATACACTCATTAATTTAAGAACTCGCTCGCAAGCTCGCTTGTGCCTAAATTAAATTCGTGTATAAAATGTATGGTATATGACTATTAATATATTAAAATAAATATTACATTGTTTTTAAAAAATGTAGTGGAAAAGTAAGTTTTTGCCATAAATATCTGGAATTTCCTTTATCTACTCCTACATTGACGAGTTGTGACTTTATGGCGTTTTAGTCACGGGCTGTTAGCAATAGTAGCTTTTGGTTATTTAAGTCAGGGGCTGAAATTAGCCTTGTTATATATTAGGGAAAAGTGAGGTTAAATCCGTTGACATTTGACAGATGTGAAATGTTTAACAAATAAAATTGTCTTTAAATTCTTCTTTGTGACAGATGTCAAATGTTTAACAAATAAAATTGTCTTTAAATTCTTCTTTGTGTTGATTATAGATAAAGTATAGTATGCTCGTTTTATAAACTTCTCTAGACACTCGTTTTTATCAAACACTCGCTTGCAAGCTTCGCTCGTGCCTAAAGCCGGGTCTACAATTGTCGCAGGGGTCCGATCGCAGAACATAAGCTTGCGCAAAGCACCAGGCGACGTGGCGATGGAGCAAGGTTCTTTTGTCAGCTGGGTGCTTTGCGACAATTCTGCCGTGCTTAATGAAAACGCCGTAACCAACAATTTTGCGATTTTTGTTTTACGGCATTTTCTACTAGAACAATTCATCCTGCGTCTATCCCCGGTACTCAAAAAACCGTATCTATATATATACGGTTTTTTTATTACCGGGGATAGACGCAGGATGAATTGTTCTAGTAGAAAATGCCGTAAAACAAAAATCGCAAAATTGTTGGTTACGGCGTTTTCATTAAGCACGGCAGAATTGTAGACCCGGCTTAATAAAACTAACTAAAATTGCGTTGATACATAATATACTATTATTGCCAATTTAAATAAGGGCGGTAAATAAATATCGCATCCTATTATAACAGCAGCGCATGCTATGAAAAAAACACACGGAAATAAATTTATTTCTGTAGAAAAACATCACAGTTGGTGTTCTTTGCAGGGTAGCCAACCCTACCGAAATTTCGGTAGACCTACCAAAGTTTGTTCAGTAATGGTTTTATTTTGAAATAAAAATATTTATCAACTCCTATAGGAGTTGACAAGCTGTAACTTTGTGGCGTTTTATTCACGGTCTAAAGTTAGAAAAAGTGTCTTTTTAGTCACAGGCTTAATATAAATTGGAAAAAAGTGAGGTTAAATTCGGGTGACAGATGTCAAAAATTTATCAAATAAATTTGGCTTTAAATTTTGTTTTGTGTTGGTCGTAAATAAAGTATCCGCTAAAGAAGTATCGCTAGTAGCGCCACCACTCGACTGTTATCATCGTAACAAAAGTACAACTTTTGATAATCAGCTGTCAAACGAGTGGGAATATTCCCACTCGTTTGACAGCTGATTATCAAAAGTTGTACTTTTGTTACGATGATAACAGTCGAGTGGTGGCGCTACTATATAAAGCCAGAAAATGTTAAAAAAATATAGGAAAAAAAACCGTGGCACGATTTGTTGTGTTGTTGGGTGTATTTCAAGAGGAAATCCTGGGTTGAGTTTTTATCAGTTTTCCAATAAACAGTGTTAATCCCATATACCTATAACTCATATAGTTATAGTTATATGGTTAATCCGAATAAAGAAATAAATTTCATATACAGTCCCTGTAAATATAAATTGTATCTATTAGATACAATCAGTGTTGCCGCAACCAAATATGTAAATGTACCAAAGAAATTTGCTAAAATGTACCCAAATGTACCAAATTCTAAATATGTACAAAATTCATCTATAAATGCGTTCTGCTTTAAAAATATTAAGACCCCATGGGAAAAAATCGTTAAAAAAAAAGACAATCGTCTGAAGAAGATCGTCTATTTTTAAACGATATCGCTTAATTTTTTAAACGATCTTTTGTAAAAAAAACGATCGTCTGAATAAGATCGTCTACTTTCAAACGAAATCGTTTAATTATTTAAACGATCGACTTTAATCGTCTAAAATAATAGCCGACCCTAAAGACGATCGTTTAAAGTGATAAACGATACAAAAGGCGATCGTCTAAAATAATAGTCGAAAAAAGACGATCGTTTTAATTAAAATTTTAAGTTATAACTTAACCGATGAGAAAATATTTTTATTTTGTCATAATTAATTATTAATTAAATTAATTAAAAAAATAATTCTAAAGGCGATATCTACCTACTTCGAATAATAGACAATTCCAAATATTCCAAAGTATATTTGAAATTCTTTATTATAATAGAGAAGAATTTCAAATATATATTTCGTCTGTACAGCCGACCGCCTCCTAACCTACGCAACGGATTGAATCGTTTGAAAGTCGATCGTTTGAAAGACGATTGGACGAATTCGCGTCTAAAGACGATCGTCTTTAGACGATTTTTCCCCATGGGACAACAAAACAAACATTAGGTTTTTAGTATAATAAAATTTATATAAAAAACAAAAACTTTTTAAAATATAAAAAAATACAAAACAAAAACAATTTATTTTCAAATCTAAAAAAATATGCGAGGTCAAATATCAGTGGTCTAAAGTTTAGACTCTAAACTATACAAACCTATTTCAATAAAAAATTGATATTATCGACAAAATTATAAAAAACTAAGAGAGAAAAAGTTTCTTTTTCATGCATTTTTTATTACTTACGAAATAAATTATAATTCATATTTTAAATATAGCATCCCAAAAAACTGAAAGTATTAAAAAAAAACAGTTTTTGACAAAATTTTTGACAGATCTACATGGAAGATTTTCATTTTACTTATTTTTGAATACTTTGTTGGTAAGTATTTTTTTAAAAAATGTTTTAAAGTTGTTCCATTTTTTTCGTTAAAAACGGTGTTCGGTGAACCGTGTGATGTTTGTTAAATATTCATAAAGTTGAACATTCGGAAATTCAGTATTTCAAAATGTACCCGATTTAAGGTTATTTGTGGTAAAATGTACTTGTGTACCATGAACGAAAAAATGTACCCAATTGGGTACAATTGTACCCAAACGGCAACACTGGATACAATAAAGCCTCATTCAGAACCTCGTAATTAGTGGAAAAAATTAGTTGTTTCAATTATACTTATAATTAACACAAAACGATCATTCACAATGCGCAAAATTAACATCTAAAATTAAGGGATTTTTTTATTTATTTAAAAATGATGTACAGTTCGTATGCTTTAAATGTATTGTTGACAATTTTTAAATTCACGCAATGCTTTTTAAGTCCACCAGATGGCGCGCGCGTTGCGAAAACCCATATACTTACTGGTAAGTATATGCGAAAACCCGATACTTCTTTAGCGTATAGTATGCATTGCATACTATGCAACTCGTTTATAAACTTCTCTTGACACTAATTTTTGGCTTGTAATTAAATTCTTTTTTTTCAAATCAGGTTCTTCAATTTTAGGCTCTTCATTCTCTTTTTCTTTACTTTTATTCTGATCTTGCGATTGAAAAACTGGAAAATTCATATTTAAAATAAGTTATCCAAAAATAAAAAAACTGAACTTTAAACTTTTGTTGTTCTTTTCCTTCAAAAATTATGTTGGTTCTCACAAATAATTGTTCCCCTAGGGAATTAAAAATTTTTGACCGGAAAACAGCCTTTTAACGCTTACTTACTTGTGTTGCAGGTGTAATATGTATACATATATGTATTATAATACTAGGCAACTGTAATTAATAAATCCCCACTACAAATGTACCTACCATCCATGCTAGTCAAGATACATACCACGGTGGTGTTCTGAGAGGTGATTTTTGGACTTTCTGTGAAACCTAATTTTTTTTATATTCTTGTTAATTAGGTCATAACTAAAATTTTAAGAGCAAAATAAAAAAAATGTTACGGTTAATTTTGTTTTAATTGGATGTTTATTAAAAATATGTATGCACACTTTCAATTCTCCAATTAAAACTTGCGATTTTGAGAGAACAAAAATTATAGAATACGTATACTGAAAATGACAATTCATACGTCAAATAAATTTTTAATAGATCTAAGTTTCATGGCAACCTTTAAGGATATATTAATTAAGGGAACATAAATGTATACGTCAAAGGTTAGATTAAAAGTTTGAACGTTTATTGCAACAAAACAGTAAAATATATAAAAAAAAATTGTAAAAACTTTTTTTTTACTTATGCAAATATTAAATATTTAAATTAAATCGCTATTTTTAATTGGATAATTGAAAGAGTGCATAATATTTTTAATAAACAACCAATTAAAACAATTCAAACCGTCAGTTTTTTTTTATTTTGCTCTTAAATTCTTAGTTATGACCTAATTAACAAGAATATAAAAAAAATTAGGTTTCACAGAAAGTCCAAAAATCACCTCTCAGAACAGTGCTCACCGTGATACACCTACAATGTAGGTCCTACATGCTAGTCATTTTAATAATTCTTCAACCTACTCTGGTATTATTTACTTTATGGCGCAGTCGGTGGGATATTTTGTAGTGAGTTTATTAATTACAGTGTTGCCTATATAATATATGAGTCATTCCAAGTTACTCGGGGATTTTTATCCCGCCCGTCACAATTTAAAGTTGTGAGTAAAAACTACACGTTATAAAATTTATTTTAAAATATTGTTTATTATGCTTTTAATAAGTTATAAGCACAATACAAATAATATTATAAAATATAAATTTAAAAACTTGTGGCTTTTACTCACAATTTTTAATTGTGACGGGCGGGACAAAAATTACCGAGTAACGTGGAATGCCCCATATGTGTATGCATATGACATCTTTCTTTTTCCAATAAAGTTATTTTAATTTACATTTACAATAATTATTTATACAACATTTACAATTGTTATTAACACAGCAGGAATCTCTAATAATACTTGTGCTAGAATCTATAATTTATAGCCCATGCTCAAATATTTTTTTGCAAAAACTAATTTTATATATTTTTTTAACGAAACAAAATATAAATTTTTTTTAATTTTTGCAAAAAGAAATTAAGAAAAAAACTAAAATAACCTAAAAAACCGTTTTAAATTTAAAGGGTTCGGTCTCTAGCGTTACGTTTAAAAATAATATGGGTTCGGTTACGGTTCCGGTCCACAAATAAATTCCGGTTCCGGTCCGGTTTTATGTCCAAAACCGGTCCGGTCCGGGTCCCTGCTGTTTACAACAACCCAGATTCATACGTTAAATACTGTTATTTTAGGGTGGGTCAACATATTTTTTTAAAATTTTAATGTAATGGAACAGTTGCATTGGGGTTTTCATTCGGGTTAGTTAGAGTAGAAGAGGTGGTACTTTAAGGAGCACGCGCAGTAATAATAACAACAATTAAAAATAATAATTTATTAACTAGGTAGACTTAAAATTAAATTACAAACTTTGTAATTTCGGTAAGAATACTTAAATTAAATAGCTTTAATGATTATTCTTAAAATGCATTTTTAAACTATTTGTTTTTGCAGTTTTGAACTCACAAAGTTGGCAACAGTGTATTTTGGATGATATTAAATTTTTATTGTTTTCATTTAACAAATCCAAGTGTTTAATTAAAATATGGTTGTCTAAATTTAGTTTTCTATCACTTTGATATTCGTTACAAAATGAACATTTTAATTCCTTTATTTTGTTATGAGTTTTTATATGCTTTATTAAGTTAGAATTTCTTACAGTTTTGTAGTGGCAAATTTCACATTGGTACCATTTGACATCTTTTAATTTCCAACAAACCTTAATGTGATTATCATAGCTTGATTTATAAACACTTGAGTATAAACATTTGGTGCACTGATGTATTTTGCTTGTTATTTTTATTTTATTTTCTTCTTTATGTTTGCTTAACATATGTGAATTTAGTGTTTGTAATGTAACAGCCATATATTGACAAAAATGGCATTTTAAACAATTTGTCTTGTTGTGAGTTTTTAAGTGAATTTTAAAACTACCTTTTCTTACAGTGATGTAATCACATTTGTTGCATTTAAATTTTTCCAGTTCTTCTTTTCTATGAAAATACTTTTTATGATCATTTAAACCGTCCCTTGTTTGATATTTCTTCAAACAAATTCCACATTTAAATAACTTTTCTTTGCCAACTTTGTCAACATCCTCACATTCTGTAAAAAAAAGTTTTTATTTCAAGGATAACAATTTTCATATTATAACACTCACAAGCCTTTACAGACGGACTTTATTTTTATATACAGTCAAAAGTCAAATTATTTACACCACCATACGATAATAGAAATACATAGAAATTACATAGGAAGAGTGGTTCCATGTAGACTACATTTATCTACATAACCACGGCGTTCTCTATAGAGAACGCCGTGACATAACCTATAACAGGGTTCATACTATTGAATTCGTATAAAATTCCCTGACTTTTCCAGGTTTTCCAGAACTTTCTCAAGCTTTTTCCATAGACTGTGGAAGGTGTCAAAAATTGATATTGATATTCAGGCAAATAGGAAAAAAAAATAAAAAATATAATTTATACTTTGCAGACCATAAAAACAAAAATAAATACTTATAGCATAATTCATTGTATGTAATTCAAAAACAAAACTTTTTTTAGATCTTTTAAAATTTAACTTAATAGTTATAACAAAACATAGAGCATTTTTCTCGTAAATAAAAACAAAACAAAATACAAAAATAAGTCAAATAACTATTTTAAACTTTTTCTCTCAATATTTGTAGACGTCTATTGATACTGTCCACTTCATGGTTGGTTCCTTTGTCGGAAACAATTGGATTTACATTCTAATGTTTGATCTTGACCTTGATACCCACAACTCTCCAACCGAAATAATTGCAGGCAAAAACAATGGAGAAGCCAGAGCTCAAATATAACTTATTATACTCAAACATAAACAACTTCACATCAAAAAAACACCTCATTTACCACAGTATTGATAACGACATTGGCTGCACCCTATTTGTTGAAACAAAAACCAAAGAACTTTTTCTCAACACTTTATTTAGAAACTGGAACACCCTTAGGCAAGATGGAAACACCCTCAATCGCAACACAAGAGGAGGCTGCTTAATTCAATCTCATCCTTCATTAAAGATGCGCAAACAAAACGCCCCCAGAATCAATAACACACTCAACAATTGTCTACACTTTTCTATCCCCTTTAAGGACGACCATCTTCATATATTTTTAGTCTACATACATCATTCATCCCTAATTGAATAATCAATTTTCATTATGGCTTCCACAAAAAGATATGCCATCATTATTGGTGATTTTAATTTAAGTAGTGCTAACAGAACCAAGCAAATAAGAACCTTTTTAAACAGTTCTAAACTTTTCCCAATTTAAGACCCCTCCCACCTTCTTAATGGACAACAACGAGGACTCGACCCCGGATATACTATTACATACCAACAATCTTAAAAATAACATCATTAAAATAGACCTGCTGCTCGATTTAGGTTCAGATCATTTAGCGCTACTTATACAAATTTACGTGGAAGCCCCCATTCTTCCTGATGACAACTTACCTAAAAAGTAACTTGGATAAGATTAACGATGAAGTTTTAAAGTATCTTAGCTCAATTAATGATATCCCAATATGTAATGACCACATTGACTCATTCAATAATTGTCTTTCTAACTCCATTCAGAAATCCACACCCAGCTCTCCACATACACATTTTCACTACAACCTCCCACCATACATTATCAGAATGATCAAGTACAAAAGAAAAATCTACAGGCAGTATCTTCGTTTCCCAGATCCCTCTCTGAAAAAAGAAATAAACGACCTATCAAAGACAATAAAACACTTAATAAATCATTACAAAAACTATCAATGGATTGAGGCCTGCAAGGAAATACAAAAGTGCTCTTTTAGTTCCACCCTTACTTCTTAAGAAGTCCCATAAGCCAACTGAATGGCTTGTGCGGGTTAGGGGTAGGAACGGACCGCGGGCTTAAAGTCCCCTCCGAAGGACTATTACACAATAGGACAAACACAAATAAACAGCCATACCCCTGGTGGGATTCGAACCCACGACCTCCGGCTTGTAGTCAGCAGCACTAACCACTCGTCCACCGTCGGCGATTATAATAAACAAAAGACGTGGAAAAAAATTCTATCTTTAGATAAAAAAGCTAAGCAGATACAAGCAACTAAATAGAATACCAACAATTACCGAAAATGACGAGGAATATGAGACTGACTTGGAGAAAGCACACTTAAAACAACAATTCCAAACGAAAGAAAATCCACAATTCAACAAACAAAACTCCACACTACAATGGTACAACTCATACTTTGACTCCAATAACGACTTCGAAATCCAAAAAATTGATGAAGAAAACTATTTCGAAGCACTTTCAAACCAAAAGAATTCCGCCCCCGGCGTAGACAACATTTCATGGACAATTTTAAAAAAATTACACCACAATATACATCTGTACATTATAAAAATGTTTGAATGCTGTCTTAACAAACAGTACTTTCCACCTATTTGGAAACAAGGAAAAATTGTTATGATACCTAAACCCAACAGTGATCACAGTAAAGCAGAGAACTATCGACCAATCACTCTACTACCTTGCCTAGGCAAACTTTTAGAAAAAATAGTCTTATCAAAAATAGCCAATCAAATAGCTGACAAAATTCCAAATTACCAATTTGGATTTAGAAACATGAGATCTACAGAACACCCTCTCGCAGCTACAATATCTAACATTCAAACTGCCAGACTAAATAACCTAACCTCAGCAGCTCTTTTCCTAGACATCAAGATGGCATTTGACACAGTATGGCACAAGGGGCTAATCTTCAAACTAAAACTGATTGGAATTGACAACTCAACGGTTCACCTAATAAACAGGTATTTGGAAAACAGACCTCTATATGTATGTATAAATGGGCAAAAATCTGACCTTTTCATTGCTGAACAAGGCGTCCCCCAAAGCTCTCCGCTTTCTCCACTACTCTACAACATATTTTGCTACGACATGCAACAGGCAAGGGACCAAATTTTACGTAAAGCTACATCCTACAATATTCAATGACACAGCTCTTTTCGTCCACCAAAGAACACTGCAGCTGGCTTTAGAAAAACTAAACGCGCTATTTTCAAACATCAGCCAATGGCTCAAAGAATGGAGGCTTGAAATTAATGCAAGCAAATCTAAATTCATAGTGTTCCATCGAAACAAGGTAAACAACCTTCAAATTACAATCGGAAACCAGAATCTAAGTCCCGTGCAGATAGTGAGGTACCTTGGAGTTCAAATTGAGAGCAAAATACACTTTGAACAACATGTCAACAGTGCCAAAAAAAATGTGTCTCCAGGGCCAGCCAATTCAGATGTCTGACTTACAAAAACAATGGTATAAATCTCAAAACCGCCGCCATTATATACAAATCCATCTGCAGACCTATCCAAGAATATGCTCCCACCCTATTCATTAATTCCAAAAAACCCACACTAAAAACCCTTGAAGTAGCTGAAACTACCTCACTACGGAAAATCACGAAATTGAGACACCCTGGAAATCCAGTGTACAATCCGCCCAACGCACTGTTATACAATACTACAAAACTACAGGTCGTTCCAATTTCTGAAAGATTGATTAAGCTGGCCACCAACTTTTCCTTGAGGGAAGCCAACAATCATTTTTTGGACCCAGTGTCACTTCCACGAGATCCACAAATACGTAGGACAATCAAATATCCCATTAGATCGATCATAGAAGAAACAGTAATTCTGGCTTTGATGGAATAATCACACAAGTTTGTTTACGTTATGTTTAAAAAAAATTATTATTTTTTTTGTATAAATTAGATTTTTACGTTTTGTTTAATTTATAAACAGTAAAGATTGTTTACTAATGTGCCATGGCTGAAGGACTTAGGTCAATGGCCTTTTGATTGTTATTGTTATATATTAATATAATAATAATTATTGTTATGTATGATTTCATAATCAATAAATATCTATTATTATTATTATTAAGTCAAATAACGTTTTTTAAACTTTTTCTCTCAATATTTGTAGACGTCTATTAATACTGTCAACTTTATGGTTGGTTCCTTCAGTCATTGATAACAATTTTATTTTTGTCACTTAGACCCTTCCCAGACAGCATCCAATTCAGAAAGATTTCTGTATGAAGTCTGTTGAAAAACATCTTAACGAGGTCACAATATGACATCTTAGAGAAATCATTTTTAGGAGCTCAAGATTAAGAGTTCTTGATGAATTCATAAATGAGAAGTCAATTTTTTAACATCTTAAAGTATCTTTTTTTCTGACCTCTTATTGGAATCAAAATTAGAAGCTACCAAGGGTATCTTAAATAAGACTTCAGTTATATGATATCTTACAGTATTCTCTTTTCTTACTTTTTACTGAAATAATATTATTAACTCTTTAAGACGTCAACATGGAGACGTCACATTTATGACATTTTAATGCGATTACTTTCTTCTCTCCGCTGTAACTGCTTGTGTTTGATATAAGAAGCGGCGAAGTAGAATTTAGAGCGTGCTCCATACCAAACGGTCTTAAACCTAGCTAAACGGTAAACGAGCTCCAAAAAAACGAAACAGGCCAAGATACATACACCTGCCGTCTATCGGTGCCGGTGAAGAGCACGCTTGAATTTAAGCAAAAGTGAGACGAAGTAATAGCAATTCCCAAAATAAGCAAATTATTAAAATGATTTTAATAAAATCAATTTAACAAATTTGTTTGTTCTATGGGAATTAAACTTGAAATGTAAAAATAAGCAACGTATACAGTAGGACTCTTTAAAATGCTTAATTGCGAAGTCAAAGAAAGGGGTTCCTCAAGAGTTCTTTTTGAGAAGTCTTGATTAGTTCAATAGGTGGCGCATTCGAAGTCTTAAGAACTTCTTTCTGATTTTGTATTTGACGTCCAAATCATAAAATAGAGCTCATGCAGACTTAATTAAGACGTCATACTGCTTTCTGGGTTTGGGAATACCTCTCTTCAATTCTGTAGAGCTTGTCCAATAAAGTATTTCAGGACGGCCAGAGGATGTCTTACTTAGGACGTTCTGGGGACCGACGATTTGGTAACATCGGATATCCCTGGTACGTCCTGGGGAAGGTTCAGGACCTGATTCGGACGTACTCGGGACTTACTAATGTCTGATACAAGACTTACTCAGGACGTTTCCAGTACTTCTTTGTGCTATCTGGGGAGAAAGACTTGTAATGTTACTTTGACTTTTGTCAAAGACAAATTGACAGTTACATGATTAGGTAGTTTATATTAAAATTGCCCAAGCATTTCCTTTATATTAAATCATAATGTAGAATGTGTAGGTATTAAGTAAATATTGCTTTCTTTTATATTATTATTATTTTAAGTATTAGTATTATTTACAGATAATTCCCTGACTTTTCCCTGACTTTTCGTTTTTTCTTTAAATTCCCTGAATTTTCCATAACTTTTTAGACTCATTTAATATTCCCTGACTTTTCCCGGATTTCCTGGTCGCTACGAACCCTGAATAAGTTTTTTTATCTTCGTTAAATATAGAAAACTTATTTATCATTTTCTTGTTCCCATGTAACTTTTATGCAATTTTTCAACAGGGACTGTAAAAATTTTAAGTCAAAAAAAATTACTTACCCTTCTCTGATTTTGAGAGAACTTCTTTTGCCAGTATTTCTTTATTTACAACTTCACTGTCTGTCCTACAAAAACATATAATTATACATTTCCTGAGATCATCCTGAGATAAATTTTTCATATAATTCTATAAAATACGTTTGACTAATAAAAGTTAAAACTATCACTTGTTGCATGTTTCAACATGTCAACTGTCAAACAACTGTTGCCATGGTGATAATGCAATAAATGGCAACAATGCTAACCCTTTGTCGAGCCATGCTTTATCATCATCCATTCCTTGTTTTATTGCTATCCCAGAGGTTGAAGGCGGTTCTTGATCAGCAGAAGTACTTGGCAGGCCGTGTAGGTATCTTGGGTTAAAACTGTCACTTGCTGCATGTTTGAACATGTTAACTGTCAAACTGCTGTACCCTTTGTCAAACAACACATCATCCAATTCTTCTTCGATTTCTTGTTTTATATATATTTGATCTATTTTTATTGCTTTCTCAGAATCGTCGACTAGTTCTTCAGGTTCTTTTTTAACCAATATTTGCTCCATTGTGCAAGGAAACTTGACCAATTAGGTAAATTAAATTTTAATGAGCAGAATACCTAGTTGTATTAACTTTATAATATATTATTAAGTATACTTTGGCAAGCTGTAAAAAACAATAGAAACCCTTCATAAACCCTCAAACAACGAATTAAACGTATATTTGCTTACCATGACAATGTTTTTACACCGAAAAATAAGGAACTCTTGCTTGCAGTGTTGCCAACTGATTTTACCAATTTACCAATAAACTTTCTGGGTTTACTCACAACTTTAAAAGGAGATCCTTTTTTTAAAATTTTACTATAGCCTATAGGTACCAAAAAACACTAGCAACTGTTAATTCATAAACAAAAAAAACCAGTGTTGCCAAACTTTGAGGAATAGTTTTATCTAAAAAATGTCCACTTCTATCAAAAAATTCCTCCCGTTAGCAAGATATTAAGTATGTATTTAGTGATGTATTATTGTATTATTTCTGTTTGTATTGTTTATGTTTATTATGTATTATTTTATATATTTATTTCTATCAAGAAAATTTTAAGTTGGCGTAATGCAGCGTTGCCATTCGTACGGTAATTACCGTATTTGTACGGTAATTTGAATGAAAATACGGTATACGGTACAAACCTCAATACCGTACACAAATGTACGGTAAATTTACTAACTGCCATATTTTCATACATAATATTATTAACAATATTTTTTTATTTTGGGGGTTTTTGTTCTATTTGTTTATTGTCTATAGAAAAACCTCTATGGTCCTTTCCTTCTTTTGTCTATGGTTTTTCTACACATTTAAACACATACTTCCACACAGTGGAAGTATGTGCATTTAAATTAATATAGCGCCATCTCGGGTTTAGCTGCATAAGAGAATAACGATGAGTTTTTAATCGAATAATAATAATATTAAGGGCAGGAAGACGAAAGTTGTTAGCCATTTGGATTTCCAATAAAGTTTATTATTATTATTATTATTAATAATATTATTATTAACTTTAAGTTTCATTTGCCCTGTGATTTTTGTAATTTATGATTTTTTTATAAGTAAGTACATATTCCAAAAGTCCAGCTCATCTAGGATTAGAATGAAATTCTTGGAGAAAATTATGGGCTGCATTTTTGAGTTGTTTTGTTAAATGTTTTTTATTTAAATTAACTTTTATTTATTTTAAGTTTTCATTAAAATATATTTTTTAATTTTGTTGCTTTTATATTTTAAATATTTTATTTTAATTTTTCAAATGTACGGTAATTTTTTCTTAAATACGGTAATTTTTACCAAGCAGGTACGGTAATTTCATTTTGATCATCTGGCAACGCTGGCGTAATGCATTTTAAATAGTTGTCAACTTGTCAACAAATAAGTGTGTTATTTGAAATAACCACAAAACTAGAAGTTCTAGTTTTGTGGAAATAACACACTTTGATTTCCAATGGCAACACTGTTAGTTACTTACCACTTACAGAAAACCCCATAATCCACAAAAGTTTTGTTCTTTAATAAAGAATCTTTATATCTCTGATTGTGGTTATTACGTGGCAAGTATATACTATTTTATAGTTTATTAAGATAAACAACAAGTGTTTTGTATCGTTTTTTAAAGCTTGCCAAAGTATTTTAGATAACTCTTCTGTGATCATTAGTATTAGTAGTAGAGTTTCCATACACAATGGAGAAAATATTTTTTAAAACAGAACCAGGTGATATTTTGATGAATTACGATGAACCAAGTACCCCTGCTGACCCTTCAACCTCTGGGATAGCAATAAAACAAGAAATTAAAGAAGAGTTATATGATAGCGACAACTTCATGGACTACAATAAATCAGGGGTGAAAGAAGAATCAGAAACATTTATAGATGAAGAAGATGATTTTGATGTACCTGAGCAAGTCAAAATAAAATTTGAAAGTGAAGACGTAATGTTTCTTGATAAAAGGTAAGCATTGTTGTGATTATCATTATCACCATGGCAACAGTTATTTGACAGTTGAAAAGATGGAAATGTAAAAACAAATGTTTTTGTAGGACCAACAGTGAAGTAAATAAAGGAATATTGGCAAAAGCAGAAATTGGAAAAAATCCAGAATCCAAGATAAATCAAGAAAATTTTGAAAGTGTTTATGAGTGCAAAAAGTGTTTAATTAAATTTTTCAGGAAAGAATTATTGGAAAGTCACAATGAAAAGTGCTTGAAATCAAGATTGAAAGTTAGCAAGTTTAAATGTGAAATTTGTTCAAAGAATTTTCAAAGAAAGTATGGTTTACTGCAACATAAAAAGTTTGTTCATAAAAAAGAAGAGCAGGAACAATTTAAATGTGGGAAGTGTGAATATCAAACTTCATATAAAAGTAATTTTAATAGTCATTTAAAAATTCATGATACTCTAAAAAATTTAAAATGCCATTTTTGTCAATATAGGGCTGCTGCATTACAGACACTAAATTCACACATTCTGAGTAAACACAATAAAGAAGAAAATAAAATAAAAATAACAAGCAAAATACACGAGTGCACCAAATGTTCCTACTCAACTGTTATTAAAACACATTATGATAGACATGTAAAAGTTTGTTTGAAATTAAAAAATGTGGAGTGGTATGAGTGTGAAGTTTGCTCATATAGTACTATATATAAATTTCATTTAATTAGTCAAATGAAAACTCACAGTAAAATAAAAGAATTAAGATGTTTATTTTGTCAATATGAATGCAGTAAAAAAACAAATTTAGACAACCATATTTTGAGGAAGCATTCTGATTTGTTGAACAAATCCAATGAAAACATAATCACTTCAAAAGTGCACTGTTGCCAACATTGTAAGTACAAAACTACAACCACAAGCCATTTAAAATTCCATTTAAAGAATAATCATTGACATTAGCTTTAAGTAAAATTGTTAATAAATGATTCCGATTTTTGAATTATTATTTATTTATGAAACAAAATACAAAAAATGCTAATTTAATGACATACCTAATTTAAAAATCTGAAACTTTCCCAGGTAGCATACTCAGTGTGCTACCTGGGTTGGGACCCTACCTACCTGGGTTGGGACCCTCAGAAGAGTCAAAAAGTAAGAAAAAAACACGTTTGAAAAAAAATATATGATTTTTTCCCACTTTTTTTAAAGTGGTTGGGGCTCAGGTTAATTAAAAACTCTGAAACATTGGGAGTATACTGACGTTTAAATGAATAAATCATTGACATTAGCTTTAAGTAAAATTGTTAATAAATGATTACAATTTTTGAATTATTATTTATTTATGAAACAAAATACAAAAAATGCTAATTTAATGACATAATTTAAAAATCTGACACTTTCCCAGGTAGCATACTGACGTTTAAATGACGTCAGCAGACGTCAGTGTGCTACCTGGGTTGGGACCCTCAGAAGAGTCAAAAAGTAAGAAAAAAACACGTTTGAAAAAAAAAATTATGATTTTTTAATTAAAAACATTGGGAGTACCTTCAGAAGAGTCGAAAAGTATGAAAAAACAATGTTTGAAAAAAAGATTATGATTTTTTCCCACATTTTAAGGGTTTTTTCAGTATTTTTTTTAAATGGTCAGGGCTCAGGTTAAAAATTAATTTAAAAATCTGAAACTTTAGGAGTACCTTCAGAAGAGTCATAAAGTAAAAAAAAAACCTGTTTGAAAAAAATTAAGATTTTCTCCCACATTTTTAGGATTTTTTCTGTTTTTTTAAGTGGTTGGGCTCAGGTTCTTCAGAAGAGTAAAAAAGTAAGAAAAAACCCTGTTTGAAAAAAAATATGATTTTCTCCCACATTTTTAGGATTTTTTCTGTTTTTTGTCAGATAAAATGTCAAATAAAATTAACTTTAAACCCTGAATAAACATTGGATATGCAATTCTGAAAATGACTATTATTATTATTATAATCAGCTGATCAAACTCTCAACCTCTATAGAGAAATATATTTGTATGCAAGATACAAATACCTATGATACACCTTAAGAGTGCGTTCGAAATGAGAGTGTACTTTGGATATGGTATAAGGATAGGTATATAATCACGTGACTTTACATTATTCCTGACCTTGTTATTTTCGAACGCCGCGGAGCAGGGCCCCCACCATTTCGGGGCCCCCACCAATGCAATATGTAACTTTTTAATGAGTCGAATATGAAAAAAAATGTCAAAAAACCAAAAATCGGTTATACCGCGCGAATCCTGTAATTTTCAATTAATTTTTCGTAGATCTAACTCTAATTTTTCGCGGATTTTTTATTGCTTATCAGATTGCAAATCAGAATGTAAGTTATCACTCAAAGTTTTGGCGCGCGAAGACGTTTTTATATATTCTATACTACACAATGGGAAAGAAACCTTACAAAATATTGCTGCAATGTTCGCCGACTTTACAAATAAAATATTTCATGTGCTACTTGCATTAACATAAATGAAATGTTTCATTTGAAATATTGCATAAAATAATTACCAACAACCTTAAATTTGAAACATTATTTAAAGATTCACATGAAAAGTTTTTACAATGTTATGTATTTGTAACATTTAGTATAAAATGTCGCATAAAAGTTTTTATAAATTACAATTATAATATTGCAGATATAACTTTTTTCAATGTTTCAATTGAAATATTAACACAAGTTTCAAATGAAAAATGTTTGCAACTTTACTTTAAATATACAATAGAAATATTTATTTTGGAATGTTTGGGAATATTTTTGAAACATTGCAATTACCTATAATATTACATTGATAAGTTTTGGGCAATGTTTCATCCAAAATATTACATTAAGATGATTTTTGCAATGTTACTTTATATAAACAATATAAACATTTAATTTGCAAGATTTTTGGAACATTGCAATTATAATATTATATTGATAAGATTTGGGCAATGTTTCATCAGAAATATTACATTAAGATGATTTTTGCAATGTTGCTTTATACATATAAACAATATAAACATTTAATTTGCAAGATTTTTGGAACATTGTAACTATAATATTACATTTATAATTATAACTTTAGTTTTGGACTATGTTTCATCCGAAATATTGCATTAAGATAATTTTTGCAATGTTATTTGCAGACTGACTTGCCGATGCATCTCGCCGCTGTCTTGGTCATTTATATCTTTATAAGTGAACAGTGCCGAGCTTGATGCGTGTCTCCCGTCACCGACTGCCTGACACTGATGAGACCAAACAGGTCGAAACAGTCTGTTTGTCAGTGTTGGTGGGTATGGTACATTAGTCATTGGATCATACCATAGATAACAAAGCCATTGGATCATACCATTCGGGAGACGCGCTTCGAGCTCGGCTCGGTGGCGAGATGGGAAGGCATTTCAGTCTTTGCAATATTGGTTGCCTACTACTGGCGTAAAGTAGAAAACCCTATGTTCTGTGTTTCTGATATATATTCTGATATACAGGGTGTTATGTAATTAATGTTATATATTAAAATACTGAATACCTTTTGACATAAGGAGTAAAGGAAAAATATTTTTCCAAAGATAAAGAAAAAATATGCATTAGAAGTTTTTTATATTTTTTGTGATACGCCACTGGTTACACACTTTTTATCTCTGCACACTTGCGTTCTGTGAGTACATAGATACCAACCAACAAAGTAGCTGCGCGTTGCCAGATGTAAAAAATTGTTACTAAAAATTTTTCTTGCTAAGAATAAATAAAAACTCAATAAATACAAGTTTTATGCCCTTAAAGCTCTAATACGGTATTAGTTACAGTATTAGTAATACCCTTCTGAATTTATTTACTCATCCAGCTATTAGCTTAAGCAATGATTAGAAAATTAATTTAGTACCTATTTTAAAAAATCCATAACCACAAAATTGATTTTTTCCTCGGGTTTTTTCTTTCTGTTTACTCAGATGAAATTGGGACCAGTTCACAGGTTAAACTTTAAACATTTGATTTGTGTAAATAAATCCAAAAGCACTTCCCCAGTCAGCATCCAATTCAGAAAGATTTCAGTATGAAGTCTTTTAAGTTGCAACTTCGTGTAGAAGTTCTAACATGACGTCTTAAACAGCTCCTTTTTATGAGCTCAGAATTCTGAGCTGTTAATGAACTCATAAATAAGAAGTCAATTTTTTTACGTACAAATGAAGATCTTTTCTTGACTTCTTTTTGAACAATTTATTTTGAGCTTACAGAGTATTCTTTTTTCTTACTTCCAATTGAAATCATACTATTAACTCTTTTAGAAGTCAACATGGAGACGTCACATTTATGACATTTTAATGCGATTACTTTCTTCTCACCGCTGTTACTGCTTGTGTTTGATATAAGAAGCGGCAAAGTAGAATTTAGAGCGTGCTCCATACCAAACGGTCTTAGACCTAGGTAATCGGTATCGGCTACCCGATACTGACGAGCTCCAAAAGAGCGAAACAGGCCGTATATCGGTGCCGGTGAAGAGCACGCTTAAATTTAAACAAAAGTAAGACGAAGTAATCGCAATTCCTAAAATAAGCGAATACGAGCAAATGATTAAAATGATTTTAATAAAATCAATTTAACAAATTAATAAAATTAATAAAATAAACTTGATATGTCAAAATAAGCAACGATCCAGTATGAAATTTCTTCATCAGTACCCTAGTAGTACTTCTATATCCAAAACGGAAAATTCTAAAGAAGTCTTTTTATAAGTTTATACAGTAGGACTCTTCTTCTTCTTCTTTGTTTGGTTTGGCCTTTCCCATCCAGGATTTAGCCAGCTGAATTTTATTATTATTATACTGGAGCAAGCGAGTCTAGGATAACCTATAGCTTCTCCTTTTCTTCTTGGTTTTATAGTTTATTAATTATTATCATTTTTGTCACTTTTAGATTCTTTTTTAACTTATTCTCTTTTTATTCACTTATGTCCATCACTATCATTTTTGTCTTTTTTAGAGTTTATTCAATATAGCTTATATCAGCAGCGGAAGTCACTTTTATTATACTTTTACACATACACATACAAAATCACGATATTAGCAGCAGAAGTTACGAGGCAAAAAAAAGCAAAAAAAACCGACTATGCACTACATGGCTGTTTGCAGAAATATATTCAATCCTTCAATATTACGACCATCCTGTGTGAAAATCCCTTGCATCTTTACCAATATATTGTAGATTTTGTGGATTCAGCAATTATCAGCTTATTTATTCGATGAGTTTCATATTATCCACTCAAGGATAGCCGATCCATCTACTTCAGCAGATAACACAAAACTGAGTAGGACTCTTTAAAATGCTTAATTGACCATATGCAAGGAATGCGGTCGATGTTGCCAATGGTAAAAAAATAAAATTCCCTATTGGGAACATTCAATTATATTACGTTGGCTACACTGAAATTTTGAATTTCAGCACAAACTGACATACATTCTAGTAGTTCCCAGAGATAAAGAAGGTAGTTCCAATGTTGTATAATAAATTAAGGTGCGAATTTCAAATGTGGGAATTAATATTATTTATTATTATTAAAAAAAAAGATAGAAATTAATTTAGTTTGTGCGGGAAATTCAAATTTTCAATGTAGCCAACGTAATATAATTGAATGTTCCCAAAAGGGAATTTTATTTTTTTTACTATTGGCAACATTGACCGCATTCCTTGCATATGGTCAATTGCGAAGTCAAAGAAAAGGGTTCCTCAAGAGTTATTTTTTGAGAAGTCTTGATTAGTTCAATAGGTGGCGCATTCGAAGTCCTAAGAACTTCTTAAAAACTTCTTTCTGATGTTGTATTTGACGTCCAAATCATAAAATAGAGCTTATGCAGACTTAATTAAGACGTCATATTGCTGTCTGGGTCCCTTAGTTAAAATATTTACAATTTAAGCACATAACCTAAAATTTGAAAGAAATGCACTAGATTCTATCATAAAAGTTGGCAGATTTAGTTTGAATTTACCTTC